CCCGCACAGACAGGCAGACATCGGGCCGTTCACCACAACAATGTCCCCCGCCCCCGCCCACTCCATCGGCAACAGCTGACTGTCGACTGCGCTACGGGTCAATGAACTGATTGTTGACATCTACTCAACGCTGAATGCTAGATAATTCTACAGTGTGTTAAGCGTGCGCGTTTACACCATTCAAATTGTTGATGGATTGATGCAGTTTTGGTTTATGACACAATGTGTCAGTTGACAACAATTTTTATTTCTCAAATACCGACCTCAAAGCAAAATGTTTATTATTGTTAAAGTTTCAGAGTTTATATTTTCTGTTATTCAAATTTCAAATGTTTATGTGTAAAATTGTTTCGTGTTAAATGTATTAAATGTAAATCAATGGAAAAAAAAATGTGTCGTATGAATGAAGCGTCTGTTGCCACGTCAAGCGTCGTCGCGCCGGGTCGAAATTGTCCCGGGATGGAAAAGGCCTTCGTGCGGACCTGAAGGTCGCTCGGGCCAATTTCTTTTGGCAGGGGAGATTTCTGTGCCGATTTTAAATTCAAAGATTTAAAATCCGCGCCAGGCAATGGACAAGTCAGTCCAACATGACGTAACGCGGAAGGATACGAACTGAAGACCGTTGGGAGCCGTGCCGTGTGCAAACGTCTCGTCGTCACTCGTGGCTCAGTACTCGCGTAGTCAACATGTGAAGTCGCGTTTTGTCGCTGGTGTAGGACGAATTTATTAATATCTTATTTCGTAGCTCGGAAATTAGCGTTCGGGCGGAAATTGTACGTGCATCAAACGATCGCAATTGTCAAAATTTCGCCGAATTGCATTTGGGGGTGTGTTTTATTAGTATTAAGTCGAGACAGTTGAGATGCCGGATTGATTGTTCGCGTTCGTGATGAAAATTCGTACATGCATCATATCGATAGCAAATGTCAGTTTCTAGCGAATCGCGGGTCGTCGTGACGGTATTTTCAATTGAATCATTAAACGCCAGCTCGAAAAACAAGAATTAATAAGTCCTACACCAGAAAAAACCGTGTCGTGATATTCCGCTCGGTCAGACAAAAAGTCAAAATTACCACGAGTCAGTTTTTAAATGTTCGGTACGCGTGAATCTTCGTCGGAATGAATGTTAATGTGTCGACATGTGTACGTAAGTAAATGTTTGTGTTATTTGTGTTTTAGTATTAAAATAGTCTTGCCAATCTGCCACATTTTTTTCACATGTACCACTCGTTTTACAAGTTATGAATCATGTTTTGTTTGGTCTGGGATTTTCATGTTTCATTTGGTCTACTTAGAGCACATGGTCACGATTCAGGATAAAATGTTTTATTAAATTTGGTCATGTCATACAAAGAATTTAAGTTATAATAGTGAACCTAGTCAAATGAAAATTATTTATTAAATTGAATTGAAATGGTATATTAATTTAAAGAGCAATGTTTATCTGTGATATTATTATTTTTGTATTCTATGTAAAGTCAGATTCTATCATCATCAGTATTATTATTTAAAACGTTTGTATTTCATGTGTAGAATAATTTTTGAATAGTATTACATTTTTTAATAGTGAGAGTTTGATTGTGTAACGTAAATGGGGGTAACAGAGTGCTCGGTCGAAGGCTAGGGTTGATAAAGGGTCATGAGGATAGACTCCCATTAAATTCATAAATATTAAATACTAAATAAAAAAATTATCAAATAATCGACTCAGCAGTCGATTGGCCCCGTTGCACTGATCAGCAAGGAGTGATGTAGATCACAAACCTACATAATAGTCCCTGTTTGATTAAATTGTAAACTGGCCAGTTTGATAATTACGAACATCTTTGGGGAGTCTGGTGATCCAAAACAAATAAATAAAATCATCAAGGCTAGGTTTTCCCGAGACTTTGCAGTTTTAAAAATGAACAAACCGCCAATTTGAACATTCAATCTTGCAATCAATTCTCTCACTCTCTCTTTCAAAATATTGTTAAATTGTGCACAAAAAAGGTTATTACATTGTTTATATTTGTAACTTGTATCACAGCTCAATTCGACTCATTATACAGTATTTTTACAAATCACCATCTTTTCATTATCCTGTGTTTCAGCTGTTAGTATCATTAGTATAAAACTGGTAAAGTAAAGAGGTAAATGGCTTAACTGAAAGAGGTATACAAAGTATTCACAATGAGTGTTGATGATCACATTTTGTAAATATATTTTGACAGTGCAATTTTTATAAGCTCAGTTCATAATATTTAATATTAAATTGGTGAATTCATGAGTAATCGGCTTAACCGAATCCAGTATATATAAACATCTTGAAGTCATACTTTTGATAAATATTTCCTGAACAAACAGTTTCACAAATATTTTCAATCAATATTTCAATATTATTATTTGCAATTTTACAGTTTTACAGAGTATCAATTCATATCACAATCTTTCATCAGAACAGCACATTTTATTTCATGGAGTGATCAAATAGACACATCTATTAGTTTTAAGAAGTGTTAGAATTAAGCTGAAGAAGGTGTGAAGGAGGACAACATATCAGACCTCTCACGGTCCATAAATCGGACTTCTGGGATATTTAATTACAGGGCCCACACTTAACATCTTTATTTCCACTGCGCAGCTCTGTGATTGTAATGTCCTCAGTAGTTCAATTAAAAAGTGTAAATTAAATTCATTAAAACCCCACCAGGGGGCAACTTTTTGTTATACTCACACCTGTATGGAATACCTAAATTGTAGTACATAAAGGTGTGAGGTGATTTTGCTTGATGGAATGATCAATTAAGTAAAGAGTATATTTTGAATATAAGTAAAGAACATTTATTTTTCTTTACAAAAAGTGAAGTTTATTTTTTTCTTTACACCTACTAAAATCCTGACGACCACGTCGCTGATGCGATACCAGTGGGAATTCTCCAAGTATCCAAGTAAGTAAAGTACTTTGTTCCTTCAACGGGAATCTTTGGTTTTTTTACCATTAAGCTATGTTTTAAAGCCACTGGGCTAGAAATACAATTGGAGGTAGCCCTGGCAGAAGGGTGGCATGTCATACCCATTGACTATATAACACTAGTGACCTCAACCTCATAATGGTATAGCATTGACTATTGGATTCTGAAGTTGTATTGATAGTCAAAGGGTATAGCTTATAATTGCGAATTTTCTTTATAACTTATAATCGTAAAAATGTGGCGTAGCTTATAACGGAGTTTCTCAAAATGTTGCATAGCTTATAATGGCTCAAATGTGCCACAGCTTATAAAATCACGTTTGTTCTATAGCTTATAATTACGAAAACGTAGCATAGCTTATAACGTGTGAGAATAATGTCATCGCGGATGAAGTAGTTGATTGATCATCAGTAAACACACAAATTATCGTACAATGGACATCAAATTATCGTATTTACTAGCAGCAGCTACTTGGCAATAAGAGTGATGTGGAAAGCGAAAAAAGGACCTCTTGTTGATGATTCAAAATTTTCAGTACGGCCGATAAGTAATTAAGGTTGGAAATATCAAAATTCTGTTTTTTATCCATTGTTATACCTTATTTAACATATAACTAGACAGTATCGGTTAAAATATCGGATTAAGGCTGTAAATAAAGGTCAAAATAAAATTTTGTTAGCCTCTGCACGGTCTGAGAAAAGGTAACTATTGTCGTTTAATAACGGCGGTCCCATTTCTAATATTCACTTTATAAACAGATTTTAGTCCAAAAAATTAATTGTCCTGCATTCTAGTGGAAATTTAGAGAACTACAGCAAAGTTCAGTTAACGGAGAACAAAATATCTCACACATTTTGCGGTCCCGACAAGAGCTTTTCTTGCCTTATGGAGAAATAACATAGGGCCAACAAGAGGTCCCTTTTCTGAAATTAATGTGATTTTTATGACATGCTTCAATAAACTATTATTCAAATGAAAACTACTGTGAGTTAAGATAAAAATTTGTATGGTATTTCCTCCAAAGAGGACATTATAAGCGTTCTTTTGATAACAAAATCGTTTCTTAAATACGGAAAAACTGTTTTATGCATATTTTAGATTTTCAAAATAGTTTTTCTGAAAATGACCTTTTTCCATAACAAAATTTCAAAGTCCTGTAACTTTAACAAAAAAAATCGTATATGCATGGGACTTGCGCCAAGTTATTCGGATTTTAATAAGGAATTTAAATATATACATAACTCAAAATAAAAAATTCCGATAGCATATTACGTTTTATATTAACCTATGGTACTATAACGATGTTACTTTTAATATTTCATACTCTATGAAGTGCGACAGTCACCAGTGTGAAGACGGAATGGGCACACGGAAGGGACTAAGGCTAAAGGTGTAGTGACGTCATATCTCTAGTGGTTAATGTCTTCTCTTGAGGCGACACGATTACCGTAACGAAACGATGTGATTTCAGCGGCGTTCGTGGCATAGATGGTAGCGTTTCGGATTGATGTTCAGGAGGTTCGGGGTTCGAAACCCGCCGGTGGCACTAACTTTTTATCGACAAATTTTTCATATCAGCAAGTTTGGTTGGTTAGGTTAGGTTATGACAGTTTAATTTTATAATACTAAATTTTAAAATTAATTTTATAATTAATTAAAAATTATAAGTTATCATTAATTAGATTTTTATCTTATATAGTTTTTATATTATCAGCAAGTCTGGTTGGTTAGGTTATGTTATGACAATTTAATTTTAAAAATAAAAAATTTATTTTGTAATTTTAATTTAATAATTACAAAGTTAATTTTATAACAAAAAATTAAAAATTATTTTAAATTTTTTCAACTTAGCAGTCCTAGCGGCGAACGCTGACACTACAAGATATGTTAGCCTTAGTCCCTCCCGTGTGCCCCACCGGTGTGAAGACTTCACTGTTGTCATAGCAACTGCTGTCTCTTTTCTTTCACTTGCCAATTCAAACGTTAGTAAACAAACTTAAAACAATTTGTTATGTACTGTAACTCTTTTTCCAGTCTACTTATTGATTTTTACAATACTTATTATTTATCTGTGTAAGTGAAAGGATTTTTTTAGAGCCAAAGATACACAATTCTAAATTTTTAAGCCGAGGATAATATTTTCAACATAGTTCAAAATAAATACAAACAGAAATTTCAAAAATGAGTGGTGGTGATACAGTTTTAGAAGTAGAAGAGTTGGAATTGCTGTCTATAATAGGTTTTGATGGTAAGTTTTATATTAATTTTAAAGAAATTAATGTAGTCTACCTATGTTATTTAATATGTATTCATGATTAGTCTCATAATCTTTATTATGGGACTATTGGGACTCAAGACATAAATGTTTGAAATAACATAATTAATGAACAAGTACACTGTTTTACAATTTGAGGTTCAAAGACCACACCCTTATAACTGAAAAAGACTGAATGGGTATATTTTTAAAAACTACCGTATACATAAAGGGGTGCAAAATTAGTTAAGTAGCAACAGCAACAGCATAGGGGTACACTTCCATATCTGTTGGCACAAACAACCGAATGAGTAATATTGATTATTCGATTGTTTAATTCGATATATCGTTGGTTAGTTAGGTTAACCTTACCTAGCTAACCAAACGATATATCGAACAATCGATATATCGATCGATATTTTCATTCGGTTGTTTGTGCCAACAGATATACTTTAATACTTTTTAATACTTTTCTTTGAAATGGCGACCATATATGGAAGTGTACCCAATTATAGGCCTACATCTTACTAATATTATAAATGTGAAAGTTTGTGTGTTTGTTTGTTTATTTGTTTGTTTGTTTGTTTGTTTGAAGTTCAATCACGCTTTATCTACTGGTCGGATTGGGCTGAAATTTGGTATAATGATAGCTCACATTCCCGATTAACATATAGACATATTCTTATCTCAAAAATCCTTTCGGGCTCCGCCCCAGTGGCTCTGGAGTTTTCCATGTTAACCTTATGAGTATTCATATTTAAAAGTGATTAAAGGATTTTGTCAGCTGTTTCAATTACCTACACAATTTGTTCTATGATATTTAATATTCTTAAAAGTTATAAGGTTCACCGTCAGGGTGCAGCACTATTATTTGATTTTTCATTCATGATAACAGCTAATTTGAACTAAGCCGCAACAAAAGGCTGTGATGCACAATGAGAACCGTTAAAGTAGGATTATTATGTTATGTAGGATGTGTTAAGTTTATGTTTTAATTTATAAATAATGTTTTCATATTGTGCGGATATTCGATAATTTACTTTTTTATTGTTTAGGTGTAGTAATGGTAGAACATTATTGCTATATTATATGTTATACTATAGCTTCCGTAAATTAAAAGAAGCAAATTTTCTCAAACTGTGTCCTCTTCCATTGCGAACACATAACTGCAATAAGCATTTTATACTTATATGCAAACCCCGTACGAAGGACGGGTATTCTGCTAGTTATACATAATTTAGCTGTACAATAATATAAATGTACACACTATACAGCTACCACAAGCTTAGGTAGACAAATTGGGACTTATTTGGATTAAAACTGGGTTTATTTTGATGAAAAAAAAAAAAAAAACTGGTGACAACTTAAATGAGGAGGGAATGTCTGGTTCTATACTGGGTTATATTTTGTATCCAAAATAATCTACAGTAAGTTATATCCTCTTCCTCCCCCTTTTTTTTCTGTAGTGTGACAACAGACTTTACTGACTCAATACTTTAGGTCTATCATTATTTATGTATTTTTGGTGATTCAGGAAATCCTCGAAATGGTCTGCGAGTGCACCCTGATGGTATACATATAGTTTACCCATTAGGAAACAAATTGGCAATTAAAAACTGGAAAACAAAGAAAGAAAACTTCTTAGAGGGTCACACAAATGTAATATCTACAGTGGCGATATCAAATGATGGACTCTATGTGGCCTCCGGACAAATAAACCATATGGGATTTAAGGTATATCGGGTTATAATGTTAATTTGATATTCTAAACTTGTAAAACACATGTTAATTTTGTACTAGTAATATATAGTGTCAGAAGTATGAAAGAGGTGTCATGCCAGCTGAGTGGCATGCATCTTTGACTTCAGTGTGAAAAAACAGGTTCCTTCCTGACCCCATATATATATTTGATGGGGTTTTTGGTCTGCTTTCACTTAACATTAATTTATGATTCTCAAATAAAGAGTACGGTATCCAAAAAAGAATTCCTGGATTTTGAACGGCCAGTGCTTGGGTACTAACATACGGTAGGTAATTAAAAAATGTCCACACTTAAGTGATGGGAAAATAAAAAAAACCACGAAAAAGATTTAATGAACGTCATCAATCTCATTTGAGCATAAAACTGGCCAAGTCTGCATGCTTAGAACAATCCACGGGTTTAATCTCGTGTCTTGACTGCATTTTGTAGCTACAAAGTATCAATCGTGGGGTGACAAATCAGGAATGTTTAACCAATAACTTTTTTGGGCTTCATCACTTGTTTTTGGGCTTCCAGGTAAATATCCTTTCAAAACACTTCCTGTGTCACAAGACTGATTGAACCAGTGATGAATTGCTTTTATGATCAAGTGAATTTAAATTAAATTTAATATAACAATTAATTGATCTACACAGATCACACTGTCCCTTCTGTTGCTCCGTAAACAACGTATTCCTGGCGACTGGTCACAAAGGCAACCTGCCATCGCGCACTTGTTTTGCTCTTGCCAAGGTCAACGATTCCTCCCTTGCTACACTTAAAATAAAACTTATTTATTACTAATTTATTTAAATTTGACGTTCAAATCGTTTAGTTATCTTCAAATGGTCCCCAAGCAATGACCGTTTTAAATACGGGCTTTCTTGTACCCTGTATTATGGAAGCTACTGGTATATAGAAAAAAAGTATACTATTGTTATCTACTGTAATATAGTACCGGTACCTAACAGCTGATAATATACAGTAGCTAAATGTTTTTGTTAGGATTAAAATTGAACCTGGATGATCCCGCTTACCAATCATTTTCATTCAATGGATTTTAACAGCTCTTTATTATCTTTACTGATGGTTCCTACCAACATCTGATTACAAAAGCAAACCTTTACTTTTTAAATTTTGTATTTGGGTTTACGAGGTTACATAGCAGCTATCATTCAATTTAGATTAGAGATGAAAACAGTATTTGATATCATTCCAACATTGGTAGTTTAGAAAAAGAACTGGTTTAAAATTAACTATTAAATTAACTATCCATACTTTCTGCAAAGGGTAATGCTGATGGTCCAATACTTTCCCAACAAAAAAATAATCTTTAAAACCTCTGGAAAGCCAACTTCACAAAATAATTTACTTAAACTAAATTTTAAGCACCGGTAGTATTTAAACAAATTTAAATTATTTTTAATCCGATGCCTACTTTTTAGTGGAAAATAGTTATGAAGTCACATTGGAATTGATTTCTCAACTAAATGGGTTTTCCCCTGTACTACACTTATGAGATTCTTTACAGGTCTGTTTTACCTCCTGCTGCTTCAGCTTTTTTTTTCAGTAACAGCGTCATCCTCGTGTATAGAGGGTTTCATGTCATGCCTGACATTCCAATGCTTAACATAGGTGAGATAACCTCCATGACTTTTGATTGGTTTTCTCCCTCCCACTTCTAATGGTAACAATTTCCTGCCACTGTTTTTCTTCTTCAGGCCAGCGTAATCTTGTGGGATTTCAAGCGGAGGACCATCTTGCTGCAGTATGAATCACACAAGGTCAGAGTGGAGGCTGTCGTCTTCTCAAGCTGCGACACATACCTCATTTCTCTCGGCGGACCTGACGATAGCAACATCGTGGTTTGGGACATCAATACCAAAGAGGCTTTATGTGGTTTGTGAATTTTTATTTGTGTTTCTACACCATTGACATTGTTCAATTCTGGTGTGTCCACGTTGTAGAAATCTAATATTCATAGGTCAGCATAGCTGATGAACGCTGGTGAAACTGGGCCCAGCCATCCATGATCATTGGGCTTTTAATAAAATGATGGCTAAAGAAACAGGTTGGCCGATGCTTCTGAGAATTCAAACAGCTGATCTAGTCAGTAACAACATATAAAACTACATTGATCGCCTACTCTATTATACACTCACTCTGCATAAGAAGAATTGTCAAGCGAAGTATAAAAAAAATAAAATCCGTTTGAGTGGGTTTCTGGGCTTGAGTGGAGTTCTAGAAAAAATCAGACTAGTGCATTAAAAATATGGTTTTGACTATTAAAGTACCTACTACTTATATCTGGACTATAATGTGAGCATTTAATATTGCTTTATTTTGTTTTTATAATGTAAAAAAAAAATATTTTATTGTTTCCCATTGAGTAATATTTTAAAAGGTTTTTAAAATCAATAAATAATGTTTTTCAAGGCTGTTTTGCGTCCGATCGCACCTCAGGGGATGCACTGACTCTTTCTCCAATGAATCTTCGAGGACCATGCTTCATGACTGGAGGAGAGTGCACACTCAAAGTCTGGACACTCAACATGACCGACAAGAACCTACGCAGCGTTAACGTGTCTCTAGGGAAGATCAAGAGAATCATTACATGTATAGAGGTATGTACAAAAAATTGATCTCAAGTAAAGTAAAAAATGAGATAACTATGCGTACAGCTGCTTATCTCTATATAGGTTCAAAGTAACTTCACTAGTTAATAGCACTTATTTAGCAATTTGGATACCAAATCCTACTAAACCTTTTATCTTTAGAAACTTTTGAGCGCAGTTCATGTACCGGTATGTGGTTGCCATTAGAAGATTTGTATTGTTACTGAGAATATCTGGAACACTAGATGTTAAATGGAATAAGTAATAATAATATATAAAATAGTAAGTTGGATACATATATTGATTACCGTAATTAAATGTATCATTTTTTGAATGATTTTTTAAATCATACTTTTTCCAGATCAACTACAGAGATGACTTTGCTTATTGCGGGACAAGCACTGGGGATGTGATAAAAGTAAAACTCAACTACTCACTGGACCTGAATGTTCTGGACCCAGTGGTCAAACCAGTGCTGATTGGCTGTTTTGCCAAAGTACCCAAAACAACCAAATCTAAACAGCCGTATGAAGCAGATAGGTACAGTCTAGGTAAGAAACTGTTTTAGAACCTGTTGACTTAAAAGTATTGATTTTAATTCAAAGAGTTCAAAGAGACAATTTTTCTAGTTTCAACCGTTGGAGATCATTGAGAATTTTTCCTGCTATTTTATACTACCGCCTCTCATAAGTAATAATCCATGGAATACTGAAGAAATCAGGCCAAATAATTGAGAAATTTTGCTTAGCAAAATGGCTTGACTTTGACTTTACATACAGTAGGTGGATGATGACTAAACAATAATTAATCTTGGAGTGAGATTCAGATAACTATCAAAGGGAATTGGGTTAGAGGTACTTTTGAAAGCCACAAAGTAATAATTAAAATGAAACAGTGATGACCTTTGACAATGACAATGACAGATAACATCATATGTCGGAAGATTGCAAGAATTAATCTGTTAAACATACAAAGACAAAATTTATATTAGATTAGGTTACCCCATGATTGCAATCAATCATAAAAAAAACAACATTTACAGCAATGTGTGTAGGTAGCCTATAGTCCTTGGTTAAATGTAATTGTTATTGTAACCTAAATATTACCTATAAACTATTTCACTTTAGTATAAATTGTTTTTTTACAGATTAAATGTGACATTATTTCAGTACAATAACAGATTTGAAGATTTTAAAAAGTTTTGTTCCTTGCATCTATATTTTTTGCATATCTCTTTCAATTTCATTATTTATTTGAAATATATTACCAATGAAAGATAATTGATGAATCGTTAAACGTTTGATCTTGATTGTTCAGGAGTGGGAGCGATTCTCCTGTTAGATGACAACAGCATCATCATCGGAGCAGGGGATGGTACAGTAGACATGGTGCGAGAGAGGGAGATTAACCCAGACAAACTGGTGCAAAAAGGTCCAGGAAAACTGATCAATCCTTCGCTGCCGATGTTGATTGTGGTGAGGACATCTTACACATTTTATAATGAATATTTTGTCACAAAATACTTAACCTTTTCCTTCTAAAGTACTGTGTTATGCATATGGTTGCCATACAACAATTAACTCACATGCTAGTAACAATGGTTTGTTTATGGGTACAAGTGGTTATTATATACAAGCAGAGTACCCGTCCTTCGTACGGGGTTGGCATATAAGTATAACATGCTTATTGCAGTTATACTTAAGCTTTGCGCTTGCAATGGGGGAGATACAGTTTGATAAAATTTGCATCTTTAAATTTACGGTTCACTATAGTATTACACATCTACCATAGCCATGTTCCATCACTTCACCTAAACAATAGAGAAAAATAAACTATCAAACATTCGCAAAATATCACAAATTATTCATGAAATTATTTTTCAAATTTTGTATTTATTCCATTTAGTTTTCATACTGCTAGGTGTTACTCAAATACTTGACTTCATTTTGTGTTTTATTCCCTCTAAGTGCAGTTTTGTTACATATCTTTAAACATGTTGTTAGGGCATATTGTACCTTCTCAGATGCTCTCTTTGCCAACTAAATTGTCATTATCGATACATGTAATTGTTAATACATTTACTTTAGTTTTGGTTCATACAGAAGTCCTGTTGACACGAGTTAGTAGAAGATGATCTTTGAGGTGTTCTTTCCCGTAACCAGGGGAGGATCCAGGGGAGGATCCAGGGATAATATTTTAACTACCAAAGTTTTGGGGGGCCTACCCTCTCGGGCCGCGCCTGCCCGTGACACTCCAAACTAAGAAAACTCAGAAGTACCTTATTATTGGCTAATCATTCAAAACTAACTTCAAGTTTAAGCCAGTTTCTACATAATTATTGACTTGTACTGGAAGAGCTCTTACAGTAGGCTTACTTATAGTTTTGTCAATACTTTGAATAAACTACTGTGTAAAATTAATTTAGTACATGACAGACAACTTAACAGTATTTATTGAATTTTTCAGCAGGAAATATATAGCTGCTAAAGTCAGTATTGGATTCGTTGCATTATTTCTTGTTCTTTCAATAGATCAAGTCAGCCAACACCGTCTCAACTGTAACCTCTGTCCAGAAGCTTGGAGATGAACTGTTGGTTGGTACAATACAGTGTGAACTTTATGTGATCAACATGAAAACATTTGTGGTCAAACTCATGGTCACATGCCACACCTCAACAATATACGACGTGGCTTTCCCTAGGTAACTTTCGACTAATCATGATAACTTTCTCACTTAATGTAAATTCTATTTACAAGCCGGCAAAAAAATAACTTCTTTCTTACCAATTTTCAAACAGGCTTTAGGACTGTTGACAATTTGGCCTGCTTTGGTGCTTTGTTAACTATTAATTTTTTGAGTCAATTTGTAAAACAGTTTTGTCACTGAAATTCACTCATGAATTAAGACCTTATGTTATTTTTATTTATTTATTAAAAATAAAACATCAACATTGATACTATACAATCTAGTACACAATAAAATAAAACTCTTAGATACTATAGTATACAGGGTGGAAAAAAGTTCCGGGACGGTTAAATATTTCAAAAAGTAATAAAGATAGAGCATCAAATCTTGGTAAGTGAAATGAAATGAAAATACTTTTTTATTTTGGTTATCCGATCGAGGTAGTACGCTTTCAGCGATGCCGTCAGTCTGGAACGGGATTCTATCATAGATTAAGCATACTTCCTAAAGCCCCTGTCATACGGAGCTGGTTCCAGCAGCTAGTTCTCGCTGCGAGAACCAGCAGCCTTAGTTGCTAGTTCTCCAGCGCGCTAAAAGTCCTGTCAGACGAAGCTGGAGAACTAGCGCTACAACTTACAAGTCTGGTGATGTAATTGGATGTAACTACACACTCCGTACTTAACAAAAATAAAGTTTGTATTAGAAGTGATGTTTTGTCAACGATCAGCCATCATAGAAGTAAAAAGTGCAAGGAAAAAATAAAATATTAATATAAACACTATTATTTTGTCTACTACGTTGGATCTGAGCGTTATCAGTAGGGAGAGGAGTGGTCAGGGGAGGGGTGACTGAGGCGACGCTGTGCAGGTCCGCTATACTAGACCTACAGCTCGGCGAGGCGATGACAACGACGCTTGTCAGCATAGATATGGCAGACTCACACACACACACACATACACAGGATGAAAAAGCTAGCGACATAATTTGTAAAACGTTGGAGTTTCAAGCAATTTTGGTTTCGGCTCTGAATATTTTATGACAAAACATTTCTTTCTTTAAAACTGATAGTTTTACTGAATATATTACTGAATAAATCATTCCTGTTAAACTGTGTGGTCATTCATATGGTACACCGTTACTGGGTATTAAAATCATTTAAACACATTATTAGTGATGCGCTACTCCTCAGGGGGCGGGCCGCTAGGAGTCAGAAAAAAATCTGAAATGTAAGCATATGTTTATATGCACATTAAATTAAAGGTCAATACTAGTAGAATACAATGCCACAAATTTGGACTCAAAGGGACAACTGAGCCAAAAATGGCAGCCGTTCAATCTCGAATCATTTTAAAACTTTGAACGGCTGCCATTTTTTACTCAGTTGTTCTTTTGAGCTCAAATTTGTAGCATTGTATTCTACTACGACCTTTAAGTTGATGTGCATATCAACCTATTCATAAGTTTATGATTTTATTCTGACTCCTAGCGGGCCGTCCCCCTGAGGAGGTAGCACATCACTAAATGATGTCTTTAAATGATTTTAATTCCTAGTAACGGTGTACCAAGTTTTGAAGCTCTATCTTTATTACTTTTTGAAATATTTAACCATCCCGGGACTTTTTTCCCACCTTGTATAAATACGTTAAAGACTTTGCCTAAAAGTGATCAGACTTTTATGGATTTAATAAATAAGTTGATATCTTAAAATTCATTCCATTGTTCCAGTGTTCGTATAATCTTTGATCAACACTTCTTTGTACTCTGTTTCAGTGTGTTTTCAGAGGTCTTTGCAACTGCAAGCAAAGATGATGTTCGAGTTTGGAGTGTCCAAACATCACAAGAACTCTTGCGCATTTCTGTCCCTAATTTCACATGTTCAGGTGTCCTATTTACACATGACGGAAAAGCCATAATCACATGTAAGTTTGTTTTAAATTTTAAAAAGTGTGGTTTATAATTTAAGTAATAATATAGTTTCAGTGTATAGTTCTTGAAATTAAAGTTCCATAAAAATAAAGTTATTATTTTAATATGTAGGAACTTATAACTTTTTGTAACTGAGATCTAGCTACAGACTTCAGAGCTTGTGCTCTGTGTACCTTACAAAACTAGAGTAGTAAAATTTTTATGAACTAAGTAAGGTAATTTGAATGGTTTTCTATCCTGATTCCAAGTACATACAACATATACAACCTATATACATAGTTTATAATTCAATTTAGCAACTCTTAAGTACATATCAGATTTAAAAATGTTACTTTTATGGGGGCACACTTTTAGAGTGCACCAACTCAGAATCTTGACTTTGACATTTTATTGAGTTAGTATGATTTGTATTTTCACTAATACCAGCTATCAGTAAATTAACACACTGTTATGAATCAATGAAGTTCCTTATACGATTAAAAAATAAATGCAACCATTTATTTGTAATATATACAAAATCACATGAATACCAAAAGCTTAACCATGTAATATATACAAAATCACATGAATACCAAAAGCTTAACCATCGATGGTAATAGCTATTTACATTACAAGTGTAGTAAGAGCGTTTTTACATCACGCAGGTGAATGTTGTGCAACGAGCGGAAGCGAGTTGCATAATTCACCTAAGAGATGTAAACACGCTCTTGCGCAACGTGTAACGTACAAGATTTTACCTGACTCGACAATATACATAGGTTTACGTACAATATTTTTCATTATCCATTTCACTCATCGTCTAACAGTAACGTTCTTTTACAAACAAAAGCTAGGTTAGGAAAGTACTTTAAAGCATAACAATAACATTCAAGCGCACAGCTGATTTCTAGCGTTGAACGTCGATGCCTCCATAGAGGTATATTTTTTTAAGTTAAGCACTCAATGTTATTTAAATGGGTTTCATTACATCACCGAGTGAGTTTTTTTCAACTTTACATCACTCGAGAAGTAAGGAAGTTGTATACATCACGCTTGGGATAGGGAAGTTTAACATGGCGGGTTAGGTAAAACTTCTTAATAAGGATTTAATGCAGCCTAAGATGTGCCTGAGGAAGTTAATTTTCAAGTGTATCTATTTGTTGTAGCATGGAACGATGGAACGATCAGAGCATTCACACCGCAGTCAGGCCTCTTAATCTTCACAATCCTCAGTGCTCACAATAAGGGTGTGTCGGCCATAGCTATCACCACGGACAACAGTAAGATAGTCAGCGGGGGAGGCGAGGGACAGGCGAGTTACAAATTTACTGGATCCACCACTGAACGTCACTAGCCTACGTAGATTTTTGATTCGTTCCATTATAAGCTTTTGAACACTACTATAATTCAAGGAAAGACATTTTTTGTGCAATTAATTTTATTTTATGACAATGATAAGTAAATTTACCATTGTAGCAAAACGTCACTATCATGTAGCTTTAAGTAAGCTGTAAGTAAAAAGTAAAAGAATTATTACAATTTTTGTGATTTTTCTCATAAAACCCCATGGAATTTTATAAAAAAGTACAGCTACCAGACTACATTTGTAATCCGATTTTCATAAAATATGGTATGTCCATAACTACCCTAGTAGCACAAATATATATTAAATACATATGAATAAATATATTTAAAATCTATTTTATACATCTCAAGTGTGTATTAATGTCAATTTTATATAATATTTCAAATATATTATATATATATAAAATATATTTTTGAATCTATTAAATATTAAAAAAATATGTTCCAATAATATATTTTAGTGAATAATATTTAAATAAAAAATGTATTTAATATCTCTTTCAAACATCCCATGAGGCCTAAACATAAAAAACATAAAATAATGAAGATTTAGTATGAAAAACACGATTATCAGTTGAGTAAATTGATTAAATAGTTCATAAAAACAAATTTTGAAAAAATTACTGGATAAAATTTTTTTAGCCCGGGTGGGTCTCGAACCTGGGTCCCTTGACTTATGAGCCTCTTACCTTACCTCTGAGCTACTTGTGACTGTTGCTAGTACTTGTTTTCAAATAGTGAAAGAGCGGCTGTCAGTTGCAATGGTTGCAATACTTGAAATTTTTTTTATACTACCGTATAATATGATTCTGTTAATCTGTTTTTCCTTAATTCGTTTCTTAAACGGCCGCCAGTCGCTAGCACCCTTTCCTAGCCAATCATTAGAGATTTCTATGATCACATTCATTGTAACATATTGCAATTTACCAAATAAAACCCATCAACACTTTTTTTTCGTTTGACCCAAATGTAGCTGCCGAACATGTATATTGCCTCTTAACCATATGCGTAATTTTTTCTTTACGTGCATGATGGAGTGACACCATTCAGAGTATGTATTATTATTAACTTAATTTTAACGCTTTCACAATAGCAATTATTATGTAAAAAATGCTTGTATAAATTGATAGACACTATAAAAAACAAAAAGATGCAAATTATTTATTTGCTAATTATAAAAGATTATAGGCTATAGCCTATATTCTACAAATATATTATTATTTTATTAATAAAAATAAATGACGTGTTTCAAAATATATTTATAAATACTTTAAATATATAATATATTTTAAAAAATATTTTATATAAATATTTAAAATATTTTCAACACATAATTTTTTTAAATATTTAATAGGAAAAATATACATATAAAATATGTATATTATTATAGATTTTAAACTTATTTGATCAATATATATAATGAATCTATTTTATATATTCAAAACTTATATTTAATTTATATTTTGAATTGCTTTATGGTAATATTTAAAATATATATTTGAATATATCAAACTGTTATTAAAGATATATTATTTATATATTTTATTCAAGGTTCTATGAAATACAACTTTAAATATATAAAATATTTATAAAATACATATTTGTGCTACTAGGGTAACAGCAAACTAATCCAAGGTACCCATGGTAGGTTTTGCTCATAATAGATGTAGGATAAATTCAATGTCAAGTTAATGGGGGAAAGTATATGTCAGTTTGCTGATCTCATGATAGTGTCATGATAGGTGCGAGTGTGGGATGTGAAGCCTAGAGTGCAGACGCTCATGTTTGTACTGAAGGAACACAAAGGTCCTGTGTCATCCATTGACGTCAGCTGTACAGACAAGGAGGCAGTCACGGCCAGCACTGACGGCACTTGCATCATCTGGAACATTGAGTGAGTCTCATACAACAAATGGTTGTAAATGTTGTTACTCATTGTTAATAATATAACAGGTTTAATTATGAATAAGCGGATCCAACCAGGAAAATCAGGAGTACAAACTCCACCACTGCCCTGAGTAGATAGGCATATGAGAGAGGTGCCGGTAGTCTATGTTACTCCGAGTTTGGCAAGAGCAATGAATGATGCGGATAGGCAAATTAAAAGTTTTGTTTGCATGGGTGAGTAATTGTAAGTCTTAGCTGATAGTTTGGAAAAAACGTTGATGGGTTCAGCCCTCCATGGTGTTACTACTTCTTTACAGTTAATTTATTAAATAGTATACTGTAAAGAAGTAGTAACTTAATTGGTTTGACCATTGCCTCAACTATCTGAATCAACAATTGGATTTAACTTCTCCAAATACTAACTATTTAGCCTTCCATGAAACACAGAAAATTAGTTCTTATTTTTATAACTTTTACTTTAGTATTAAATCCTTAATGACTGTATGAAGTTATAAAGTTCAAATCCAAGATTTTATTTCACATTTCCAATAGGAATGGAACTCGCCTGGCCATTTTGTTCTCCTCAACATTGTTTATGTGCGTACGCTATCATCCCAGCAGTTGCCAGGTAAATATTGTCTTTCTTATCAATATAAAAGAAAATAATACAGCGATTCTTGTTACAGTAATGTTTTTATAGCAGTTTGCTCAGTTTTAGCACGTTTTCTCTTGTGTCACACAATTAATCATACCCTCTCTACATATTTTGACTGACCTACTTGGATATACTGAATTTTATTCCTTTTGTTCAGACTTGTTTAAAGCTGAAAGCTGGATTAGCCTATTGACATTGACTATTCACTGGATGTATGAAATCGATAGCTTGAGAGGTCCCTCATGCTTAGACTCTTTTATTTGTTGTTTAAACGTGTGGCAATTCAATACATACGTTAAATCTTCTTAGAGTTTCAGATCTATCAAATATTTTATGAACATTCAGTAAATTCAGTTAAGAGCAATTTTTTGGTAAAAATAGTAAGTATATTCATCACATTCTACACATGGCCCAGACTGCAGCTGTTAAACAGCTTATGATTCATTTTAGGTGATTACTTGTGGCACAAATAGGATGATTGCCTATTGGGAAATCTACGATGGCTCCCTCATAAGGGAAGTTGAAGGTTCCAAGTCGTCTGCTCTAAACACACTGGACATAACAGCCAACGGAAAATACTTTGCAACCGGGGGAAGTGATCAAGTAGTCAAGGTATGTGTTGTTTAAAATCTAGGATATTATACAGAAGAGGTTGTTTCTGTGTTTGTTCCAGGTGAAAGCTAAAACTACTACAAAACCGTAATGTTGTGCTTTACTGGGCTGAAATTTGAAATGAAGGGAGATCATGATCCTGACAAACATAAAAGCAGATTCATGTCCTTAAAATACCCTTGTGAGATGCCCCTAAATGAGAAGCCTTCCTAAATTTCAAGGTGAAGCTTTTGGAAATGACTATATTGTTTTGTCTTTGCGAAGCACTGTCAAAACAACTAGTTCAGCATAATCCCATGGTTCAGTGTCTAACCATTCAGGAGAATTGGTGAGTGTATTTTGCTGATAAGGCATTCATGATATTCAAAGGCAATATGATCAGTTGTTTCACCATACTTTAACTGTGTCGAGGATGTAAATAAGAAATCTTTTGAAATAATCGTGGAATAGGAAGAAATATTTGACTGGCTTGATAGCTATATAGGTATTGACTGTTAGAATAACATTGTTTATAATTTTTTTTTTACGATTTCAACACATTTCGTCAGATTTTCTGGCAATTTCATGATTATTAAGAACTTGATTGTTGTGTGATGATTCCTTTGTAACATTATTGAAAATACACTTTAGTTTTTCCGAGTAAGTTTTTATTGTTTCTTGTGCAATGAATGCCACACAGACCATTCTGCTCCATTATTCACTCATCCTTCACTCGAATATCTGGATTACAATCCTATTTGGTACTCATCTCAATTAATGATAATGATAATGGATGTACTTGGTCCCTAAACATTAACAACCTAAGGGCCAATATAAATTCAACTAGGTTTCAGTTATCATTAGGCCCGTCCCTGGCTCGTATAGGGCTACAAGAGAAAAGTAGCTCCAGCTGGTCTTATGAAACTTTGTTTGCCAAGATGAACTTAATAAGCCTTTTACTTAACGATTTGATAAAGTTAATACGCGTTAAAAAACACTGTGCAAAGGTTTTCCTGTATATTTAAAAACATTGATCTCTTCAATTTCCCGTTATTTTATGTTCCAATCACATCTTTTATTTAACATAAGTACCACTAGATAATAATATTTTTACAGTATTAAAAACGCTGACATGCTCCAGAATTTTAATAATATTATGATTAGGCTGTGTTTTATACTATTCAGCATATGAACATGTGTTTACAGTTGTGGAAATACAAAGAAGGAGTTACAACTCACTTAGGACTGGGTCATGCTGGTGTTATTACTGGAGTTAGGTAGGCTGTTTTGTATTATTTTCATGCAGAACCTCTTAATATCTTTGCGATTATGAATATTATCATTGTTAGTTTTGTTCTCATGTGAATCTCCCAAAAAATGTATTCCATACCTTCAAGGCTTCTTAATACGACTCCAACTAGAAGGAAAAATTAAGAATCAAAGCTTATGTTATTATACCAGACTAGATGTAGTTTAAACATTAAGGGATAAAACATAATCCACTCAAAGTTTCAAATTTGTCTAGCTTAAGATTAATCTGTGAGACATTTATTGGTTAAGACAACCAAATTGCTAAAAAACAGACATTGTAACTTTGTTGCTGCTCTGTGTTGGAATCAATATGACACCTAATAAACCGCACCACATAACCCATTCATGGTTATTGCCTTCTCATCTCATCTCATCGTACAAAGGAATGTTTGAGTTTAAATTTTGGTGTACACTTTGTTTATCCTAGTAAAATCAAGCTACCATGTAATCATTCAAGCAAATCCAACTTACATCTCTGACTCATACTGGAAATATACAAATGAGATATAACAAAGATCTAAATTTACTAAATACACGTTCCTCCATACAGTTATCCAATCAAAAGCATGACTCTTTTATTTTTAAAGCCTTCATTACCAAACTTACCTGGTTCAAACTTTTTGGTATTTTGAATTTTTTTTACTGTTCAGTGTTCCCTCTGTATTTAGTCGATTTAAGTTCTACTGCACTTACATGTTTTCAGATTTAGCCCTAACCTGCGCACTATAGTAAGCACGAGTGCAGACGGAGCGATATTCCTGTGGCGCTGTCCAGCCATGGAACAGCCGACCCCTCCACGCACCGCAGAGAGCATCAGTTCACACAGCACGTGTAGTCTGCGCGAGGGCAAGTTCAGGAACGCAGAGAACATATCTAAAATATCCTCGTCGCAGAGTGTACGAGCGCAAAGTGCACAGGAGCAGGAGCCTGGCCTGTGTCCTGCCGGTGTGATTTCAATATCTTTGTACTTTTTGAGTTTACTAATTCCAATACGGTTATCATTTTGTGGTGGGAGGAAAAAGAATCCCTATGGATTATCCATGGAGCTATGTGGTCGACTACTAAAAACATACCTCAGTGTTTTGTCCTGCGCCATTCTGGTACAGTGATGTGTGTATCGATACAAGGACCGCAAAATATCGATACGTGGGAGTGTATCGATATGCCCGTATCAATACACCTATAGCCAATATCGCATCGAATATCATATTGTTTACTTATTAATATAAATCTTATTTTTAAGGTAAGAAATTTGTCTTCCCATCTTCCTCCCCTCAAAAGTAGTAGTGGAAATTTGATATTTTACCCTACCATCCTCAAAAACACTGATAAAACATGTATTTTCAGCTATGTTTTGCAAATAACCTCAAAACTAGGGCCACCATTAATGGAATTGGGGTCACTCACTATCCATGTTATATTATTTAATGTGTACGTGGCATACCCACCATCATTATAAGTACCTGTTGGTTCAATTAATTATCCCTGTGTAAAAACAAGGAAAACAATAACAAAATGTTTTCCAATTTTGAGGTTTTACCGGAATTAGAAGGTTATGTATGAGAGTTTGATACAAATAAAAAGACACAGAAAGGAAACGGCTTTTCTGAGGTAAGATTACATGCACTAACCCTCTTTACAAGCTTATAAGTAACATAGTATTTGTCTATGCAGCTTGTATATTTGAGATATTTAATTTTTTTTTTTTAAATTTTATAAATAAACAATACGATACGATATTTTATCCGATACGGGTAAAAATCGATACATGAGGATACGATACGATCGATACACCACGAATCCGATATGTATCGATACATTGACCCGTATCGCACATCACTATTCTGGTATATGGTATATCATTGGAAGGCTCATTTGAATAACACCATGAGGTAGTAAAAGCCCCTTTAATGTGCATGGCAGAAAACATGGATTAAGGTAAACGTTTGTTACAACATGTAAATGAATAGAAAACATGTTTTTAAATTCAATTCAAGGGAGACAACTTTTACCAGTTTTCCACTCTGTTTCTCCTTGGTGCAGGGACTCGCCATGCAATCTATACCTACTTGGAAACTACCTTGTATGTAAGATATTATAACTCAGGGAGCAGTGTACCAAATTTATGCACTCTATTACATTGTGTGTGTTCTATTTTACTTAAGATATAACACTTTCAGGTGGGTCAGTTAAATGCTACTGCAGTGGTAAATGCAAGTGCAAGACAGACTTCCAAGTGCATAAAAATGGTAAGAAAACAATTTCAAATCATGTTGGTGTTACATAGTATATTACAGTTACTTTTATGGTAATACATTAGTCACAGTAATTTTTTTATCTAAAGATACACCACTACCACAGCATGGCAGAGGTGACTAGGTTATTGTTGCAACTAATAAGAGGGTAGGCCTACACCTGATTGTACTTAATGAAATATAATGAAAGTTATATAACTTTTTTTAATATTTGTGTATAGAGGTGTGCAAGCAGCTCAATTTTCGAGCCAAGACTACAAACTTCAGAGATGCGAATGCCTAAGCAGAAAATTGTGCTCGAGCTGAGCTTGTGCGATAATTATTTCATAGTGGATCGGTGAAGATTGCCTGTTCTAAAATTTCATGCTTTTGCCTCGATATAGGGAGACATCTAGGATTTTGTCTATCATCGTTCACGCAGTAGAATGTCTGTGGGATATGTGTAGGATATTGTCAAGATAGCAGAAAATGATAATAATATTTGCATGACTGTGGGAGGTATTCAATATTTTGCACCATCATGGGAGACGTTGCATCTTTTGATGGCGCTCAGATTTTAAAAGAAAGAAAATCTTGTTTGTAATCAAAATGGTAGTAGTAGTAATTGTAGGGATTAAAATAATGCAAAACCATGTTAAGGGTGTAGCATAAGAGCACAAGGGCCTAGATTTTTTTAGGATTTTGAGAGGATAGCAGGCTTACCTGAACGGGAAAGAGTCCAAACTGGCACAGGAAACACAAAACAAAACTTTACACTATATACACAAAACATTAGAATATTTCACTGTCACTGACAGCATTTTCAACTGAGTCAAAACTCTCTCTTCCTTAGTTGAAAATGCTATCAGTGACAGTGAAATATTTTAATGTTTTATATAGTGTAAAGTTTTGTTTTGTGTTTCCTGTGCCAGTTTGGACTCTTTCCCATTCAGGTAAGCCACTATCCTCTCAAAATCCTAAAAACAAAACCATGTTAGTTACTACACCGATTTTAACCATACAAAGTAAATATTGTCAAAAAAGTCTCTTTTGGTTTCCATATGTCTGAATTAACTTAATTCATATTTCAGCAAGATGCAAAGAGGAAAGTGGAAACACTGAGGTCGCAACTCCACCATTGACTGAATAAACCTACTATTGTAAGACCAAGGATTAAATAAAAACTGCAGTTCTAATAAAACAGGTTTTATTAGTTAAACTTAGACAGCCTCTTGTACTGGGGGTTCGTAGCCCTCTGGCCTGTCTACCTTGGCCCCAGGCTCCTCACTGCTTCCCTTGCCATCTCCGTGGAGCTCCAGCAGCTTGCTCAGGTCAAACCTTGGCTTCTTCAGCACCTTCACCTACAAAGTCATAGAGGAGAGTTAGTAGTACAACAATAAACTACTGTACAATATATTGTTGAACCATTAACTTGTGGAATTGAAGTAGATCCTACTAATATTATAAATGAGAAAGTTTGGATGTTTGTGACAAGTGAACGCGAAAAATACTGGTCGGATTGGGCTGAAATTTGGCATGATGATAGCTCACATTCCCGATTAACTTATAGGCATATTCTTATTTCAAAAATCCTTTCGGGCTCCGCCCCAGTGGCTCTGGAGTTTCCCATGTTAACCTTATGAGAAATAGAATTATTGAATCTTAACAGCTGTTTCAATTAAACAAGTTGGTTCTGTTCTATGATTTTCAATAGCATTAAAGTTACAGGGATTACCAACAGGGTGCAGCACTATTATTTCTTTTACATTTATGACAACAGCTAATTTGCAACCAAAAGGTGAGTGAGCGTAGCGAACGAACTTCAACTTGGAGGCGAGTGAGCTAGCGAACAAACTTCAACCAGGACGTGATTGAGCCATGCGAACGAGATAATCTTGAAAATTAAGAAGTTAAACGGGGCAAAGCCCGCGGGTTACAGCTAGTATTACATATATGACACACAAATATTCTTTTATTCAAATAGTTTCATGAGACATTCACAGAGAGTGCTATAGTAAAAGTGATATTTCTTTTGTTTGGTTTTTAACTATCAAGGATGTTATTTAAGATACTACCATGTACAAGCTGTCCTTTGTAGTTCAGTTTAGTTAAAATCTATGTGTTCAACATACATCGGTAATTGACATCAGTTCACTTCAGTGGTTTGATTCGATTCAGTAATGTTTTTATTTTATTCTACAACTCGAATATGTGAATGGAACGTCTAGCCAATTGTTCTATCAATAGAAAAGGCTCAAATGTAATAACTCACTACATCAGAACAGTAGAGGAGAGGTTGGTACAAGTTAAAAGTCAGTGTAACACATTTCATGTGTAGCATATCTAAGAAACATTGCCTAATGAATATATGGAATAATGTTGGCCAGGATACAGACTTATAATTCCTAACGGAAGTTAAATCACAAAAAAGTAGACATTGAAACATGAAATACATTAGTCCATCCAAAAGTGAGTATGCTATTCTTACAAAATTTAAATTTTGACCATTAAAAATATGTAACAAAGACTACAGCTATATACAGCAGTACAGCTGCATAAAATTAGGTGTCCAATTTAACTGTGAGAATAGATTTTGCTCACATCAGGATAAACAAGTCTTACCTTTCGGATGTAAACATCGTGGAGGGGGTAGATTCCTTGACAAGCCTTCTCAATGTCCTTGGCAATGGAGTCAGGGAGGAGCTTGTTCACTACTTCCTTCAAGTCAGAGTTGGTCACGTTCTCCATGATTTTTTCCACCATCTTCTTCCTAATGGCTCTGACCTAGGTACAGTACAGAAGGTCAATTACTATTACTTTCAGTGGCATTTATTATTAACTAGCTGAGTACCCGTCCTTCGTACGGGGTTGGTATACAATGCTTATTGTAGTTAAATACTCGTGCTTTGCATTTGCAATGAGAGAGGACACGTTTTGAGAAAATTTGGTTTACTATAATCTACGGTATACTATAGTATATAGAACATCTACCATAGCCATAATGTTCTACCACTTCACCTAAACAAATTGTTTAAAACTGTGGCAAACAATAAACCGAGAAAGGGAAGCGAGATCAAATACTGAAAACCAAATCCATCTTCAAGTCAACAATAAAACAATAGACGACCCAATAGAAGTTTCAAACTGTTTTAATGATTTTTTCTCATCAATAGCCGACAGAACACTCCAAAATAACAATAACTCTAGAACCAATGCCTTAACAGACCACTTACCAGCAACACATCACACACTCCAGTTCAGACGGGCCACACAAGAAGAAGTGCAAAAGGCCATTCAATCTCTAAAGATGAAAAATTCATCTGGAACTGATGAGGTATCAGCTAAACTTCTAAAAAACTGTAAAAATGAAATAGTAACACCCCTGACAGACCTCATAAATAAATCACTCTCACAAGGAAAATTCCCAGATAAATTAAAAATAGCTAAAGTCTACCCAAAATACAAAAATGGACCAACGATAGAAAGAAACAGCTACAGGCCAATCTCCCTAATATCAACATTTTCAAAAATAATCGAAAAGATAGTACTAGCCCAACTCCTACACCATCTTCAAGAACACAACCTTCTCAATAATCAACAGCATGGTTTTATCAAAGGCAGATCGACAGCCACAGCCTTAATACAACTGACGGAGCACATACTAGACCAACTAGAAGAAGGCAGCACTTCAACAAGCCTCTTCCTAGATTTTAGTAAAGCTTTCGACTGCCTAAACCACGAACTTCTTCTACTCAAGCTGGAAACACTAGGCGTGAGAGGAAGAGCAGCAGAATGGTTTAAAAGCTACATTAGTAACCGGAAACAGCTTGTGGAAATAGCCTACATAAAGAACAACACAAAGTATAAGGCCCAATCCAAAACTGTAGACGTGCAAAGAGGAGTACCCCAAGGATCAGTACTTGGCCCAGTCCTTTTCCTCCTTCTCACGAATGACCTACCTAGTTGGATTGGGGAAGATGGACACACCACCATGTACGCAGATGACACGGTTCTCACATTTGCGGACAAAACAATGGAAAATCTGGAAGAGAAAACCAACACACAACTCCAGAGAACAAAGCAATACTGTACCTCCAACGACCTAGTTCTAAACGAAAGCAAAACCGTTCAAATGACTTTCACCACCAAACGCAACAACACAGACATTACAATACCGGGACTACAAACACAAAATACCACAAAATACCTTGGCATCATAATTGACTCCAAGCTATCATGGAAACCCCACATAGACCAGCTCTGCAAAAAGCTAAGTTCAAGTCTCTACGTTATACGTAGGATCAAGCAAGCTTGCAGCCCAGAAGTAGCCAAAGTTGCATATTTTGCTCTATTCGAGTCCCACCTCAGATATGGCATTGCGACTTGGGGTGGAACATCAAAAGGCAACCTGGAAAGAGTACTCCTAAAGCAAAAAAGAGCAATTAGATGCCTTGCCGACCTGAACTACAGAGACAGTTGCCGAGAAGCCTTCAAGAACCTTAAAATTCTCACATCAATTTCACTCTACATAAGAGAAGTCATTATCCACACCACTAAAACAGCCCAGCCAAGACACAGAGACATACACCAGCACAACACACGACATGCCGCCAATTTTTCCCTTCCACAACACCATCTGAGTCTGTACGAGAAGAAACCATCCTACAAAGGTGCTCTGTACTTTAACAACCTACCAGAGCACCTCAAGAGAGAACAACCCAATCTGCTCAAGAAGCACCTGACAACATGGCTTATGGACCGGCCGTTCTACTCTGAGGATGAATTCTTAAACAATAAGCTACCATGAAAAAAAAGAAGAAAAAATTCTAATTGTAATTGCAAATTACTGTAATAGTTTACGTACATACTGTACATTTTATGTACCTGACGCATGAATGTTCTCTAGGAATATTTCAATAAAGATTTTGTCTATTGTCTATTGTCTATTGTCTAAAACAATAGAAAGAAGTAAAGTTCTCACACTCAGGTTTTTTTACAGCTTGGTTCAAATTAGCTGTTGTCGTAAAATGTATAAAGAACTAATGGTGCTGCACCCTGTTGGTAAACCGTATAACCTTTTAATGCTATTGAATATCATAGAAAGAAATTGTCTAGTTGAAACAGCTGGCAAAACTATTCAATTTCTTTTAAATATGAATACTCATAAGGTTAACATGGGAAACTCTAGAGCCGCTGGGGCGGAGCCCGAAAGGACTTTTGAGGTAAGAATATGTCTATATGTTAATCGGGAATGTGAGCTATCATCATACCAAATTTCAACACAATCCGACCCGTAGTCAATGTGTGATTGAACTTCAAACAAACAAACAAACAAATAAACAAACAAACACACAAACTTTCACATTTATAATATTAGTATGATTTCAGTAATAAATTTTTGTGACTTAAGAGAGATACAAAAAGTTAAAGAGAGCATTCAATTAAGTTTGACAAATGCACCATTTTTCTCACACTGATTCAAACATGTCTGTGTTGATACCTGTGCCAATTGTAAAACCCTCTTATTAAAGTCAAATAGTTATTAAATCCATTAAATACAAACTTGGAGGAGTAAGAATAAATTATTAAAGTAGAGGAAGATGCAGAGGACCGGATAACTTGGCAAAGATTTGTTGGTGCGGGTAAATATCACCTCCGATATAAATGGCTCTGGGAGTAAGCAAGTTGGGTTTTATTCAATGGTAATCTAAGTTATTGCACAAAACCACTTGGCTGCCTGATTAAATCCCAACTCTATCCCTTCAATGCCATTGTTGAGGTTCACATAAATAACAAGCAGGGTAAAAAGGACAGATCGATATGAGATGGAAGAAGGTAAGTTCAACCAGAATGAGGAAGATAAGGGGGCCCAGACCAAAACATTGCAGGACTCTGTGATCAGAGGTGCTTCCTACAAGCAACAAAGCCTGAGTTAAGAACACAGGGGACATTTGGGGATTCTTTACTTAAAATAACATTTTTTTTAAATAAAAATTTCCAGGGACTAATAGGTAGGCATATTAAATAAAGTCACAGGATATAACACTGGTATTTGTCATAATATGGGACTTATTCAGAGAATTGGTCAAATTAAAATATTTTATCTAACTAGGCCTAGCTTTCAATTGTGTGACCACGGGAAATAACATTGATTACCGAACAAATTTTGATGATACTTAAAATAAAGAATTGAACCTTTTGAAAACTTAACATATTTGCAATGTTTAACAAGTACCTGTGTATGTTGGGCGTAGCAAGTTTTTCTCTGTGACATTTGATCCTTGTTGGTAAAACCAATGCAGAAAACTCTCAGCAGATATCCATCAGTGGTCTTGACATCCACATTGGCTTCAATGAGGGTCTGGAAGAGTAAGTAATAATAAAATCACCACTCGGCATACAGCAAGTTGCAATAAAATATTTCAGTTGATATCATACAATAAAATATTGTTTTCTATGTTTTTAATTTAGAGCAAGGGTATGATCACCAGATTTCCCCCCTGCATATAACTAGTTTCCAATTTTTACTAGTAAACAATATAAATGTAAACAGAAAGACAGTAGGGCCTACCTTAACTTTGCATTTTAATGAAAGGTATATTTCATTAACATGACGTACTATAGTGTTTTCCCGTGGTTGACTTTGGCTCATATGATTAACTACCTTTTCAGAGTTCAGCTTGAATGTACAAATCAATTTGAATATGAATCCTCATGATCGCGACAATAGCTGTGATGATTTACCAAAATCATAGCAACACTTTATTATTTTACATGATAGCGGCAACATTTAAAATCATCTCCTACTATTATTATCGCCAATGTGGCCACATTTGTGGTATAATCTCTTGGCCGGTTAATACCATAATGATTTCTTGTGATCTCGGCAACATCCATATTTTAATTCCAACGATAATCTCAACATGTGACTAACTCTTACAATCGTGGAAACTTCTGTGATTCATGATAGTTTTCCAATTTTCAAAAGCATAAAACGAGAACAATAAGCAATTTCGGGCAAATTTTTTGCAATGATTCAAAAATTGAAATTTTTCAGTCCCAAATTGATACAATAGGGTAAAACATAGCAAATATTAAGATCTAAATTGTATTGGGACTTAAATTAATGGTTAAGCTGAATTAATTATTAATGATTATTAGCTAATTATCATAGAATTGTAGGCTAAGCCTACATTGAATGAGTTTATTTGAAGTAGACTAACCTGCCATTTCTTGACCATACTCCTCAACTTGTCAGTGGTCAAGTCCATTCCGTGGAAGTTTGTCAAAACGTTACGGCTCTGAACATCTTCTGCGATCAGTCGGAACTTACGGAACGATCTCTCGGCATCGGTGTCGCTCTGAAGATCAGCCAGAGAGACTTCAAACACTCTGTACTTCAGTCCCTCAGAAGCAATCTCTGCAAAAAGTCAAGTGGCATGTTAATTTTGTTATTATTGCCTGAGGTAAGAGAAATTTTCAACTTAAGTATCAAATACTTGTAAGGGAAATCAGTCCAAACCTCTAAATATTGTGGGTATGCCAGGTGGTAGGGACTGAAACTGTTCCTCTTACAATTTATACGTCCAGAGGCGGCTAATGAAACATTGCAATGTAATTGATATAGCCAACTTTTAACACCCTAATTATCTCTCGCAGCCGTGTTTACATCATCATCAACTGCCGCGGTTACAAAAACGTCATCGTCGTCTTGTACGATCGCTGCAAATTCACTAACATTTCTCAGCCGTGTAGACTTACCATCGTATTCGGTGATCGCGGCACTAATATGAACATCTTTCATGCCCGTGTAGACATAATCGTCGCCCACAGTCACAAAAACATGATCGTCGTCTTGCTCGATCGCCGCAAAATCATAAAAATCTCCCGCGATCACAAAAACATAGTCGTCGTCTAGCACGATTGCACCCGAATTCTGTTTATCTACCGCAGCCCATTAGACATCATCGTTGTCTCCCGCGGACAGGAAACATAATCGTCGTCTTGCTCAATCGCGACAAAATCTCCTGCTTTCACGAAAACATGATCGTCGTCTAACGCGATAGCGGCCAAATTCTGTTAATCTCCCGCGGTCGTAAGGACATCATCGTCTCCTCCTTCTGCCGCAAAAACACGATTGCCTTCTAGCTCGATCGCGGCCGTGTAGACATCATCATTGTCTCCCGTGGTCACAAAAACGTAATCGTCGCCTAGAGTGATCGCGGCAAAATTTTGTTTATCCCCTGCTGCTGTATAGACATCATCGTTGTCTCCCGCGGTCATGACACCGTGATCCGTCGCCAGTGTTGGGAAGTAGCGCGCTACAAGTAGCGACGCTACAGTAGCGCGCTACTTTTTTTGTAGCGTTAGCTGTAGCTACGCTACTTTTAAGATTTTGTAGCTTTAGCTGTAGCTAGCTACATTTTTAAGGTAGTTGTAGCGGAATTTTAGCTACTTTTCTCGCTACATTATCATTGTTTGAGATAGTGATTTTTATCATAACCTCAACCTTACGTGAAACAACCTCTTTCAAACTGAGATTTAAAAAAAAAATTAGGCCTTACTTTCTTGGCTTCATACAGCTGGTTGCAGCCGTTTCATTCCCTATTACAACGTTGTGTGGACATGGAGGCCATTAAATGAGTGTTATCCACATTTTTGGCTCTCATTTCCTTAATTTACTACTCTATGATTACTGTCAGATAAAATAAAATCGCTAGATGCAGACGACGTTTAAACGTTACCGGTGACAAGAGAAGCTATTAAATGCTTGCAAGTGATTGACAGGGAAATTAGTAATCAAATTAGTTTCTTTATTATACCGATAGTGTTTCAACTTGGATTTTAATGGAAACCAACACTAAACCTTAAAATAATGAGAAATCTGGTCTATCAACCTTTGCTTCAGCTGTTGATTGTGGTTCATCGTCACAAGCCCTTCCTTGGTTAGATTACGAAGATTTTTCAAAGGTTTACTAAATTAACAAAGAGGAAATTACCTGATGTGATTTAAGATATGTATAGACTAAATGATAATTGTAACGAAAAAATCTCCATATAACATGAAACTTACATTGAAAAAAATAGCATAGTTTGCTCCTGGTAACAGCTCTTGTATAGGACTATTAATTTCTAGGCTATGCTATGGTTTAAGACGAATACCAAGTCCCAAGTTCAATTATTAGGAATATATCTGTTTAGTCCTTGCAAGAACAAGCCTACTATAGCCAACTTGTTACATAGCCAAGTAGGCCTACATGTTATTTTTACTTTACAAATTTCAACATGTTTAAATTAAAAGCCGATTTCAGGATAAGTTAATGGATACTGTTTTCTGTACCAACTAGGTTGAAGCACAATTTGCCCTATGCATAATGACAATAAAGGACGATTTCTTGACATTGAAAAGTGTTATTCATAGTACAAGAAACTTATCACTTAAAAGTTTATAGCAATGTCGTTTTTAACATTAAAAGAAAGGCAATAAACTCCAATTTCAGTAGGCTAGGCTCTGTAACACAAAAAATTATTTTTAAATAATCGTTTTACAGTTTTATTGATCTTAATTGTTGATATAAGACATCTATGAATGAATCTATATTAAAGAAATAAAATGAGCTTTTAAAATATAGTTTGGTTGTATGTCCTTTGAACTTACTGAAATTTACATTTAAGATGCTTAAAAATAATGCAATATTTAAAAATAAGTACTAAATATGATGGGACACCGAACTATTTGGTTCTGTTGTTGTAATGTTAGGTTTATAATGCCAAAAAATTAAATACAATCTAGGAATAATTTGTTTTCCAATTAATGTTAGATACAATACCTACTGACATTTTTTTAATGTTTGTTCAGTAAAAATGTAGTTGCAATTAATTTTACATTTACCTAATGTGCGTGGAATAAAAAGTAACGTCTTTGGAAAAGTAGCTAAAATTGTAGCTGTAGCTACATTTCAATGTAGCTGTAGTTGTAGCTAGCTACTTTTGCGGAACTGTAGCTGTAGCTGTAGCTAAGCTACTTTTTTGGAAATGTAGCAGTAGTTGTAGCTAGCTACATTTTAAAAGTAGCTTCCCCAACACTGTCCGTCGCCTAGGGCGATCGCAGCAGTCATGAAAATTCTGCTTATTATTATCTATTGCATGCACACCACAAATTTTGTTTTAAATCTTGCAAGTATTTATTCTCTCTAAATTAATTCTAGTTCCACATTTTCTACTTTTTAGTGTTTTCAAAAACGTGGAATTTAAAGTTTTTTTTTTAAATTGTTTTTTTTCTTTTAAGTCTTTGTGTAAATATGTTAAATCTATTTTATATGGCCTGTTAATACATAACCAAAACCTATTCATCTGTAATCAGATGTTTTATCTTTATTTTGAAATGTTTGTTGATATTCAGTATCTCTCGGGGGGCAGAACCTGTACCTAACCTCTACTCTTTCAACAAACTGTCAAATTAAAGTACAGCTGACTTCAAATGATATATTTGACTAGGCCTACTTACATTCTTCCAAAATGTTAACATTAAAACTTTGGAAGCCCATGGGGCGCAGCAAGGGAAATATGTAAATAAAATGATATAATATTGCATTGTCATCCATTTGTGAGCTATGTTTCAAGTCTCTAGCCCATCGGGAAGTTAGTTTAAAATCGATTGCAAAATTTGTACCCAACAGACAAGAAAGTAAGCTAATAAAAACATGTTAAAATATACTAGGCCTACCCATGTTTTAAACTTACTTGTTCCTTGTGTTCTGTTGACAAGAGTTTTGCCAATTTGCCTGGTGGCAAACATTGATGGGGCTTTGACATCATACCAGTCTTTCCTTGTGAAAGGGTCAACTCTGTAAAAACACACAACACAATATAGTCTAATTAGTTTATTTAAAAACTGAGATAAGTGAAGGCCAATCTAAAATTCTGAGCCATGTTGCCGGTTATTAATCTGGGTACCAGACATGAAAACAAAGTTATTGGTAGGCCTACCTACTGTATTGAGAATTAACCTGTAAGTCACCCGTATGGAAAATTTTGAGAAACTGACAATATGAGTTAGCCATCCTTATTTATTATGATTGGCCATGAAATTTAGAGCTCAACCACGACTGAGTGGTAGGCCTGTTTTCATCAAAATATCCAGTGTTTAACCCTCCGAGTGTTATTTGTCGATGCTTCGACACACAAACACGTTTACGGCGAAGGCTCTATGACTGACAAAATCGGATTGAACTGGATCGAGTTAGGTAGGATCGCTTTATTTGACAGATTCAGAGCTTTCTCCGGAGGTCTGTCTCTAAGCGCTTTTCATTTTAGTTCCGAAAATATTGTAGCAGACAGCTGACGTGCGTATTTGTAAACAGCTTGGTTAACCTCGGATCGATGACTGATGTGTTTTATTACGTTTATCATTGTTTTAGTGTTAAAAATCAAAAGTAGTGATATACGTGGTGCATTATAAGAAGATTTAAGTGATTTTGAAGGGCTGGTTGATGATCCTGAAGAAGTAGGTAGTGATATTGATGTAAATTATCAGCTAGATTCCTAGCTATGGTTAGGCTATGCATTCTTAGCTAAACACTATGTACTGAAATATGTTTTTTGCCCATAACTTATTTATTTGCAAATCTACTTCCTTATATTATTATATATTTGTAATCCTCATAAAATTTAGAACAAAGTGGCTATTTTCGAATATTTATAGGCTTATAATTTATACAATTTCATTGAGCGCAAACTTATTTTTTTTTTTTAATTTTCCAAAATATTTTTTGTACCTAAAAATTTTTTTTGAAACAAATGTTCCTTATGTTTTATGTATAATATTGAAGCCCATGATTTTCCAAACAAAATGGTATATAGAACAGTATAATTAACATTGTTTTCAAGCTTCTCAGATCCGTTTTAATAAAACCTTGCAAATGAGCAAAAAATAGGCAGACATTAAGGCCAAAACAAGGGACACTCGGAGGGTTAAGGATTGAAAGTTAAATTTATCATATAACGAAAGTGCCTTTTTTGTTTGTAAATAAATGTAGACTAATAAAAAAAACTAGTCTACCAACAACTGAAACAAAAACATTGATTTCATAAATAAAAAACACAGAGGATACGCGTCCGGTAACCAGACGTGGATTAGGCGTCCGGTAGGGGGTCCCGGAACGCCATTACCACAATGATACGATGTTCAGCCATCAGTGTTCGTGGTGTAGTGGATAGAGTGCATGACTGATATGCGAGAGGTCCCCGGTTCGAAACCCATCGGTAACTTTAACTTTTTGTCACAGATTTTGCTTTGAATGTAATTTCTTCTTAACTGTACTGTACATCTTTTGTTAGAATTTTGGGCATTTATAATTTTATGTTATGAAGAGAATTGAACCTTCATTTGATTTTTTTCACTATCAGCAAGTTTGGTTGGTTAGGTTAGGTTATGACAGTAACTGCCGGACGCCTAATCCACGTCCGGTTACCGGACGCGTATCCTCTGTGAATAAAAAAATGAACATACAATTTTTTTGCTTATTGTAAATACCAGATTTCACTTTCTTAATGCTTAAAAATAGTGTTTTGAGAAGTTTATTTTTCCTCCTTTCTCCTGGGGGGGGGGGTATTACATAGGCCTAAGCCCCAGAATCCACCCCCCCTTGACGAGGGTCTACACCACTGCCATATATAATCTGTAAACTTATATATAAAACGCTTAAAAACTTGGTCTCCACACTGAAGCGCTAGTCCCAAGGTTTGTAATTTAAGTTTCTAGCCGTTATATGGCAGGTTGAGCGCCAATTCCTTGTCAGTTATGAGTGGGTTGTCAGTGAGGTCCATTGTGCGAGAGCTCGAAATTCAGTTATTTACCGGCAAGTAATAATTTATAAAATACTTTATAATAAACAGGCGTTTTATGTTTTTATAGTGTAGCATTGGTCACGTTATTGCATTCGTACACGTTTTCAGTTATACATCTCACAAGTATTTATTCTCTCCAAATATTTATAAATTATTTTCTACTTTTTAGTTAGTTTATAAACGTGGTATTTTAAAAATGTTGTTTTCAATTATAAATTATTTAGCCGAAAGCCACCGATATTTTTATTTCACCTATGTTTTTATTCCACCCATGAGATATGCAATTTATTGGTCTGGAATACGGTGAGTCCAACTCCGGCATTTGCTATTTATTCTTAGAGTACTTGCTAAAAGTCACTGAATAGTGAATACAAAGCTTAACATCATAATAGTGGTTTAAGGTACAAAAAAGTATATAACCTATTAACCCTCCGAGTGTCCCTTGTTTTGGCCTTAATGTCTGCCTATTTTTAGCTCATTTGCAAGGTTTTATTAAAACGGATCTGAGAAGCTTAAAAACAATGTTAATTATACTGTTCTATATACCATTTTGTTTGGAAAATCATGGGCTTCAATATTATATATAAAACATAAGGAACATTTCTTTAAAAAAAATTTTTTAGGTAAAAAAAAATATTTTGGAAAATTTTCAAAAAAAAAAAATAAGTTTGCGCTCAATGAAATTGTATAAATTATAGGCCTATAAATATTTGAAAATAGCCACTTTGTTCAAAATTTTATGAGGATTACAAATATATAATCATATAGTGAGGTAAGTTATCAAATAAATAAGTAATGAGTGAAAAACAGATTTCAGTACATCGCGTTTAGCCTAACCATAGCTAGGAATCTGGCTGATAATTTACATCAATATCACTACCTACTTCTTCAGGATCATCAACCAGCCCTTCAAAATCACTTAAATCTTCTTATAATGCACCACGTATATCACTACTTTTGATTTTTAACACTAAAACAATGATAAACGTAATAAAACACATCAGTCATCGGTCCGAGGATAACCAAGCTGTTTACGAATACGCACGTCAGCTGTCTGCTACAATTACGATCGGCTCAGAGAACATACAGCGCTGAGACAGACCTCTGGAGAAAGCTTATAATTCAACGAAAAGAACGATACCTAACTCGATCCAGTTCAATCCGATTCAGTCAGTCCTTTGCCCTTGTTATCCAGAGCCTTTGCCGTAAACAGTGTTCGTGAGTCGCTGCAGCGACGCATGACACTCGGAGGGTTAAGTCAATCAATATTAAATCAAATTGATAGACAAAGATTTAAAGATGTTCTAAAAGAGGCTCAAAAGTGCACAAAAACTGTGTTTTTAAACCTTAAACTACAAACATTTTTCAGGGGAGGACTTCCGATGATTCCCTTTGACCTGAGGGGTATTCCATACCCCCCAGTGAGGGCATGATGATTTTATGTGATGATAGGCCGGCCATGTTTTTGTCATCATCGTTAAGGTTATTGTCGCTAAGATCATTATATTCCAGATCTAACAATCTGTCGTCCACTTCACTTGACCTCAAATCATCACTTATTTTACCACTTGACTACATAAAACTACCTGTTGAAACACAATGAATAATATTCTGTAAATTAAAAACGTATAAAGACCGTTAGTAAACAAAGAACAACCAACACACACGTTGTTGAAACACAATGAATAATATCCTGAAAAAGTAAAAACGTAGTGATGTGAGAGAGCTAAGTCCAAGGCCTTAAGCTGATTTGTAACTACTGTGGCCTACAAATTTAAATTGGTTTAGTGTTCATAATAGGCCTAAGGTCAGATTAGGTTTAGGTAATAAGGATATGAACCTAGTTATTTTTGTGGTAAATCTGAACTTTCTGGACTTAGCTTTTAAACCTTCCTGGATCATTCCTACAATTCCAATAAACAATAAAATACCTTTAAAACATTTTTTTGGGCGCAGAAAACACTGCAAATTGTGAAAATATACAGAACTACTTTTCAAGGCACGGAGCAAATCGCACGCAAAGGAACAAGGAGCGGAGTGATACAGGCCGGTGACTACTTGCTCTTAATTCAAGTGTAACCAGCTGTTCATCAATTTATTATGATTGATGTTTTGATTTAAAAAATGAAACCGTTCAAAACTAACAAAACCGAAAGTGGCTGAAGGGAGCCTCTTGGGATGAAGATGATGACGCCATTGTTTCTCGCGACTCGCGTAATCAAATTCGTCTGCTTCTTTCTTTGCTGGCGTGTGATTTTCAGTCATCGGTGTTCGTGGAGTAGTGGATAGAGTTACATAAGAGGTGCAAGAGGTATTTAGATCAAATTCCATCGGTGACACTTAAAACTTTTTGTCAAAAGATTTTGCTTAGAATGCCATTTCTTTTTAACTGTAGGCCTACATCTTTTGTTAGAATTTGAGGCATTTATAATTTTAATTTATGAACAGAATTTAACCTTAATTTGATTTTTACTTTATCAGCAAGTTTGGTTAGTTAGGTTAGGTTATGACAGTAACTGCGGGCATTGTTTCATCTTGCTTCATACCGAGATGCTCCCTTCAACCGCCGCAAACAAAACCTAACCAAACTTGCTGTAGGCCTATGGTTTCATTATTAATCGGTTTCATAAGAGAAAAGGCATGGGGAAGTCAGGGCGGGCTTTATAAGGATTTGTGTACATTAAGTCCTTTGAAGGTAGGTTAGAGTAAGTAAGTTAAAGTGAGGGTTATAGGCGATTGGGTTGTTTATTGATTTTACACCCATGTTGTTTTTTATCTTTTGGAATAGTTTATTAAACAATGAGAAAGCAGCCACGAACCCGCATAAAATCCCGACCTGCCTTCCCCACATGCCTAAATAAGATCAGGATTCCGATCAGGATTTCGATTTTAGGACCTGTTTTATTTCTTTGTTACATCAAAGGAATGCCCGGGTCACTTCAAAACAATATATTTAATAAAATAAGTTTGTATGCAGACGATGCAAGTTTAAAAGTAAGCAGTACATCTGTTTCCGGTTTGGAATTTAACTCTTTGAATTGCCTAAAAACAATAGATGCTTTCTTAAACTATCATCAATTACTTTCAAATTCCAGTAAAACCAACTTTATGGTATTTTCAACAGGTAAACAAAAAAATCCAATAGATCCAGTGATTAATTTTAAAGATTCTAATCTTAATCAAGTTACTACAACTAAATTTTTGGGCTTAGTAGTTGATGAAAATCTTTCATGGAACTCCCATGTTGACCATGTTGTCAGCAAAATCACATCTGGAATTTATGCAATTTATAGAATGTCTAAATTTTGTTCAGCAGATATTTTGAAAAAGCTTTATTTTGCTTTCATTGAATCCGCAATATCATTTGGCATAAGTGTTTATGGTGGAACATCTAAGAAAAATTTGGATAGAATTTTAATTTTGCAGAAAAGAGCAATAAGACTAATGTTAAATTTAAACTGGGATGTTTCCGTACGTGATCATTTCTTAGCCATGGGTATAATGACTGTGTACGGCATTTATGTTTTCCATACCGTTCTTTTAACTAAAAATCTTTTGTCTGAAAGTATGTTACCCAAACTAGGGGATAACCACGAATATGGCACCCGGCATAGAAACAAAATTGCTGTTGGTGCCCATAGATTGGAATTTTATAACAAAAAACCTTCATGTGCTGGAAGAAAATTTTTGGAAGGGCTTCCAGAGTGGTTGAGGAAAATTGATGATTGTACAAAATTTAAATCCCAGCTTAAAATATACTTAACACAAAAAGTACTGTATAATTTTGATGAACTGTACAGCTGATATTATGTTGCAAGTTTAAGTAGTTTAAGAATTTTGACGCCATTCAATGTACATACTTGTATGATTTATGAATAAAGTTATTTTCAATTCAATTCAATTCAATTCAATTATTCATTGTTTCAGTTTCATCTCAACCGAAGTAGTTCACTTCTTGGTACTAGGTGTGCAATGTGCTCCGCGCGTTAATTAAGAAAGTAGTTCCATATATTTCCACAATTATCGGTAATTTCCGCGTCTTAAAAAGGCGTCTGGCAGTTACTGTCATAACCTAACCTAACTAACCAAACTTGCTGATAATGAAAATACCTCCGCTGCAGCAAACCTGCCGACTAAGCAAATTTCCATTCATCTGGATTGATTTTCAATTAATCTATTAAATTAACATTTAAATGTTTAATGCGTACCTAGGTTAGCTGCAACAGGGAAACTAATAAAGTGTGTTTTTTTATTAAAATATCAATAAGTTTTGGCTTAATATGAAATAAATAAATCCGCCAAGTTAGATCAAAATATATCCATAAACCAGCTAATTAGGCCTACTACATTTTACAATAGTCTCCAAAAGAATAACATGGGAATTTTAAATTACCGGTAACAATTTTTTGAATTTTCTCCGTAACCGTACAAAAACACTTTGATATACTAAATTTACTTATTTGTTTTTTTTTTAACCTCTTTAAAATGGTCTGGAGAAAAATTGACAAATTTTGTGTTTTAAGTGTACCTAAAAAATTAGAAAACCCATTTTTAACCCATAAAACCCCCCTTTAAACCCCGTTCCCGTGGTCCGATCATGCTGGTTCGCGAACTCATTCAAGTTTGACCGCCTTACACCATCAACCCAAATTTTATCAAAATTACTCAACTTATCGTCTGGACGGATATAGGCCTATATATATATATATGTACATATCTCTCTAGGCTATAGATATATATACATATATAAAAATTTGAACAAATGGTGTTTTTGGCCTCTGGGGACATCAAAATGAAAAAGTAAATCGGTCCCGGGACTAGGTCTTACCATGAGACCTAACTTACAGCAATAGCTACTTCCCCTATGGGGAAATTCGCTAAAATCGAATAAAGTTTAGGCCAAAATTCTATTTGTAAAATAAAATTATAAATGACTCAAATTCTAACAAAAGATGTATACAGTTAGGCCTGATCTACACGGGTCGAGTACGGCGGGCGAGTCAGTGTGCGAGTTGCCACTCGCTTGGTGTAGACATGCAAGCGAGTTGAGCAACGGGCGAGTTGATAAAAGAGGTCAGTTGAGAGCGGGTCGAGTGATTTAGTTGAAAACAGAGTTGCCCGGCCCAGTAACAGATGGGTATCCCCACCACCATGATTTGCCTGCGAAACATCTGTTTACTGCTATCAAGTGAGTCCAGCGACCACAGAATTAAATTATTTTTTTATTTTGTGGTCGCTGAGTCAGTCGATCACAAAGATCAGTCAGCACTGACTGAGGTTAGTTCAGTAGTGTAGGCCTGATCACCTTCAATTATCAATGGTTCAGTTGAACAGTTGGTCGTGTTGCATTGTCTTGCTGTTTGTAAATCTACGCTTATTCAGTTCAGGTTCAATTCAGTTTTCAAAATGGTTGTAGAACTTCTACAGTTCTACTGGAACGGTTTTATTAATCAATGGGTTGTTAGAAAAGCTCTCTCCCTAAAAATGTTTTCTATCAGAAATAGGCTACACATTAAAAACAGTATTTTCACATTTTTTATTTGGAGGGAACTTTTGGTTCAGTATATTTTATTTTAAAGAAACACAGTTAGTAACTTGTTAGAAATCTTAAAATCTTTCCGGAATATCACCTTCCACTTTGGTCTATTTTGTTTAAAAGTTATTTGCAAAAAAAACTTTTAAGCAGCCCTTGAATTTAAGGGGTGATTTAGTTTTAATTCTTAATTGCAATCGATTAATCGATATATCGATCAATATTTTCATTCGAATGAGTGTAGGACGTCAAGTTAAGTGCAGCCATGTTTTACAAAATTGAAATTAGCTAGGTAACTTAGTAGGCTAGCAACACACTGCATAGGCATTAAAAGTGATGAGAAAAATCCTATCAAATAACCACCCTTGAAATGGCTCTTCAATTTGTGGGTCCACAATTACTAATATTACTACATATGGTATCATATGTAGAGTAAAGACAACAAACAGCATGGCATGGCAAGCAACTTATCACTGCTCGACAAGCCTAGGCTAGAGAACCTCCTTAGTTCTAGGACTACTTTCTCAGTTCAGTAAAAATTAGTAAAATATATATTTGCGTGGCTAAAAACAAGTTATAAATACATAACTGATTAAAGCTAGTTAATAAAAGTACTGAGTCGATAATAATACTGGTAAATCGATTTCAACACGGCTGAATAAGCTAGTATGCGAAAAGGTAACCTAAAACGCCGCCAGACTAAGTGACGAGAAACAAGTTGTATAAACAATTTATGTAAGATATACGAATGCAATAGTGAAACCTAAGTAAATATATATTGAGCAGTACTTACACCTTCTTTTTCACGCCCTTCTTGCCACCTTTGGACAAACCCTTATTTTTACCTACAGCCATGATTAAACTCTAGGAGAGAAGAGAACGTGGTGTGGTGACAATTCCAAAGGAAACTGTAAAGAAGAAGTAAAAGCAAAGCAGCAGCAGTTAGCTAACAACACTTTCATTTTGTGAAGGATTTATAAAGCGAGGCCAATGTAATATTTGAAGCTGTTACTATAAGAAAGTAGTAAGGTTACGCAGCATCACAAAAATACTGTAGAGCAAATTAGTGTAAATGATAAAGCATTGAATACAAACATATCATCATATATTCATCGTTATGGATTAACTTTTAGGATGTTTATGACCAGATTTGACATTTCTAATAATTAGGCATACTGTATGATTAAAATATGCTTGTAATTTCATATTTTTTAAGCAATCGAAAAACCTACCAACTAGATAGATGCATTGACTATAATACTTAGTTAGTATATAGTCAATGGCATTTGTAAACTATTGTGCTATTGTATAATATCATGATGGAAGCATCTCATGGTGGAAGGGATATCATGGTGGAAGGAAAATACATAGGTGCGCTTTTCCCGTCATACGCCGACATCACTCAGATTGCAAACACCATTTTACCATTAAAAAAAATATAAAAACAATAAAAATTTTTTAAACCAAAACAAGTACGGTACCTAAATACTTTTAAAGCTTTGATATGGCAATACAATCAGGTGATTTTTTGTTTCTAAACAAAACGACATCTGCAGTGCACCGGACAGAACTAACAATAAAATTTGCTTCAGCTGTTATTAGGGTGAGAAGTCTACTAAGGGAGTATGTTTAATTACTTCTTATTAACAAGTCTGCGTTGACCAGTATAGCTGGATAAACTGCGTCAATTTTTAAATATAAATTATTTACAACAACAATATTTAAATATTCCTTGTATCTTTCAAGGAATATTAAATTTAAAAGGTTTCAAAATAAACACTTGCGGGTGACTACGTAGGTGATGTGTGATGTGCTCTCTACCATTTGTCCTCAAAATCCTCTTTCATGGAGTAGTAGCATTATGGCTCTCAAGGCAGATTTTTGTAGTGAGTACTTCATCACACCATGAAGCATTGCCCCAAAGAAGTGTGACTTAGTCCCTGATGGATGATTATAACGATAAGGCTTCACTTAAACTACTCTTTTTAAGTCTACGCAGCAGAAAGACAAATCTAGGTAACTTTTTGCATGTTTCATCAATTTGAGGTTGACAACTTTAATTTCCTGTCCATGGTGAATCCCAAAAGTTTAACTTGTTAGGGTTGGTGGTGTTGTGATATGGCCAAATCTAGACTGTCCAAGCTCGCTCCTCCCCTAATCAGTGTTGTGACAGGATTCGCCAAACAAGTTTTGAGTTGGATATTGTGTGAAACTACCAGAGCGAGAGATAATATTGATTAAAAATCTAGTCAGTGGATATGTTGATCTGTGATTGAGTAGCTTTTTGGTGGTTCAAAACTGGACCCCGCTATTTCTCATTGGGCTTTAAATAAATGATCCTTACTAATGAAGATGATCTTGATCAGTAACAAAGCTACACAAACTTACCATTCTACCTCTGCCTCATAAGAATTTTTTTTTTTGTTCAGTTTGTGTCTAGCATCTATTCTATTCTGAGCAACAGATATAGGTACAGATACCCTGACCATTTCAATTGTCATGATCGTATACTGACCATATACGTTTTGAGAGCAGCCACAACACAAAAAAAGTTTATTTTGTCAGTTCGAGTTTGGCCCTTATTATATTTCGAGCGACAATAATGCAAAGCACACTCAGCACTCTTGCTAATTTAAATTCTTTCATTATTTATTTTAATGTCTATAATACCTACATTTTGAGAAAATGGTAACTACAAAAAAAAAAAAAAAAAAAAATGAATTTTGTGCAGTAGTGCTTAGCAGTTTGCGTTGTCGACATTGTCTTTGTGTCGGAGGTTGTACAGTACAGCTGTATCGGTTTGGTGTTAGGTCTATCGCTATACCCTCAGTAGTAAGTCGATGGCTTGATCGCTCCACGGTGGCAGGTTGTCGCACGTCCATCGGTTCCGCCTCGGACACCAACCTTCGGCTTTGTCTTTCGGCCTTGACGACGCTCCGACGTGACTACCGAAACGGAGGTGGAGAAAAAACGTGTGAAGAACAAGTCTCGTACGTAGCTCGGATAAGGATCCCGGACTGCTGCTCCTCGCCGCCAGTTTCCTAATATCACAAGTGGGAGAATTGAAGAAAAATATTTTTCCATTTGAGCGTTTATGGTATTAGCTTTGACTATTAATACAACTTCGGTATCCAATAGTCAATGGTATTAGTGTAGTCAGTTAAAAGTCATAAAACCGAATCATTCCTAATGCACCTAAAACAAAATTGATGAAAACAGATATTTTTGCATAATACATTTTGAATCTTTGAATCCGAATGCCATTCTTAATTACGTAAACACAACAAAGTATATGGGTTTTATATTATTTACCTATATAACGTGCAGTATGTACAACAATTAGAAATAAATGGTATCAGCATTCTGACACATATTTTCTCCCATAAGCTTGTCATCAACCTTTTATCATAAACGATGAGAGTAAATATTTTATATTTAATTTTTAAATAAAAGAAATTAAAAAACGCCTGGAGATACCATGAATTTGTACCTACATACCAAATTTCATCAAAATCGGACTACAGGTGTGGTCTGTAGCTCTGTACACACGCAGACACACAGTGGTTTTCAAGTTCGAAACCCACTTTTTTTGGGTTCAGGGGGACTCAAAATTGATATATCCATTCAAAAATCAAACTCGAAAATTTTAACGAAAACGATACTTTCTCCATATACTATGTATAGGGGGAGAAAGTAAAAAAATAAAACTAAGGTAAAAACTTATGTAACAACAATCATCATGAATAACCTAAAGGATACTGTAAGTAACTAAACAATAAAACATTTGAAAGTTTATTGCAAAATCACGGTATCATAGTTCTTCGTAAACTTTTAGAGATTTAGTTATTTGATTTGCCTTGACACATTCTTTGAGTTTCTGCCTTTGCTCACAATTTTCTCCATTTGTTGTACTGTTCCAGTATTTCCAACACCTCCCTGCTCTTGCTTCTCGTAGTTTTCTTCTATACAATTTCAGCACTAACATTTTCCTTTTGTTATGGACAGAGACTCGTGCACTCCAATTATTGATGTGAAGTGATGAAACAGAAAAACAAAATTATATTGTAAATTTTTTTTTACTAAAGTAATATGTAAGCTGGTTCTTAATTTCAATATAGGTATACTATGGAATCAGTTTCGTTTGGAAAAATATAGTTTAGTCAAATTAGCTAGTTTTACTGTAATCTTAATAAAAAAGCCACTTATAGCTTTGTTTCTCTATTGTAAAAGAAATGTCACAGCATTTTTTTCATTGTGGTTATAGTATCAAATTACAAAAGCAATAAATTCCATATAAAATGTTCAGTTCAATTACTATTATTTCAAATTTGGTAAAAAATGAGTAAACATCTAAAACTAAATACACCAGATTCAGTACTGTAACATATCTCAATATTTTCCCCGACTACTACAGTATACAGGATTACAGTATACAGTAAGTAAATATCATTAAAGTTTTTTTACGTAAAAGATTTTCTTATTTTTATAGTCAGTCTCAATATTTGTTTTGGTAATGCTACTTTTCATTTATGTCTACCAGATGTTAAACAATTTTCTATTTGATATGAGCACACTCTGTAGAGTTTTTGTTCAAACAACTCAAATCTTGCTCAACATAGTATATTTAAATGTGCACAAATGACAGTTTTATCTTTGTGGTCTAAACTGAGATGATTTCTAATAATATTATTGGGTAATTTGCATCGACAATCATTTTAAAAGATTTCCAAATTAGCTTACAAACAGTTTGTACAAAATGTATGATCCGTATACACATAAAACTACTAAAAGTATGAAAATCAAGTTCTTAGATCTCATTATTGAACATGAACTCTCATCAATGCATATTTGTTATTCTTTGTGTCCAACGTCCAACTGGAGGTTTGTATTACCATTATCTGAAATCCTCAACTTCCTTAGGGAAGTTAGAGGATAATAATATGCCAACTTGAATACCATTTCACATGATGGTGGAAGGGAAACGGACAGAAAAACAACTGTCAACCCCACGTCCGAAGAATTCGAAAGGGTAGGATCGAGACGCGCCTCGGTTCGACTCGTGCAAATAAGGAACCATGAACTAATCTCCTATTTATTGAGGGTAGAAAAATACATGACTGGTTCATAAACTCCATTAGTCACGTGCACGTCACACAGACTACACCACTGATTCTGGCATTTCCCCTACAACTTAATTGATACCAAAAAAACATTTTGTCAACAAACGTCTTGATTATCATGACACTGAAATTAAATATGATTCCTAAATAGTTGACAGTTACACTTCCCGTATATTTAAAAAAAATTTCATTGAATGAAATTACGATTGTTAGCAATAATAGTACAATACTTCGTACTTTACTACACCATGAGGTTTTTAGGATATCATACTCATGAAGAAACCTACGCTAGATATTAAGAATTTTACTCACAATTCCATCCTGAGTTGAATATGTTGATACTGCATCGCCATAAATGAAGATGTAATGCATTGTTTCCATGGTTTTAAATTATTTTTACAAATTTCAAAATATAAACAGTTTAGTTGAATTACCTAGTGACAACAACAGAATTTACTTTCTTTGTTTTTCTTTGCCAACATTAAATCTTTTCCCCGGACCTACCCTCTCGCCTGTAAGTGGGCGGCATATTGGAGAATCCACGCCCCCAAATAGTTAATTTTTTCTGGGGAATGAGAAAAAATAGTAAAATCGAATTTTCTTGAACTCGCTATCAAAAACATCCCTCCTAAAAAGAATATATGGAACTTGTATCATCACTCTGGATTATCGCTTATCAAGATTATCTATCGTTTAAAACTATCAGGACACTACAAAATAACTATACCGTACTTAGACAATTAATAGGGGCCGATCAACTAAAACCCACGTTTGATAGTATCAGACTATCGATGACCACA